TGGTTGGAGCCTCTCCCGCCTCCACAGCAGCTCTAAGGATGTCTATCAGTCAGACATCCCGAGGGCTTGTGGACTGCAAGAGGGCACAGGCCAAGCTGAGGGACCCAGTGAGTGCATGAATTTCGTACACCAAGCCTCTAATGTATAATAAAAGGTCATTTTCTGTTGAGGTTATTTCATAATTCATATAAAAGTATAAGAGACTTGTTAAAGGATTTTGCTTATAAATTATACTGGAAAGGGGACATATTAAGAAAACAATAATGCCTAAGGTTGCCTAGGGTTCTAAGATGATATAGCAACTGTTATAATAACTAGACCTCTAAATGTAAAGCAAATTAAAGCTTAAAGCAAATGTGTTTCACTTTAAGAAGAAAATAAAAGCACAAAGATGACCCAGATGTGTCCATGAGGATCACCTGGTCCTTTCATTTTACTGATGAGGACACCGAGGCTGAGTTCAACTCCCAAATATTGGCATATTATAGATGAAGTCTTACCCTCTCCACACGCCTGTCCTACTTCCCCTTCCTGAATTCAGTGTATTAAAGTATCTGGTTATACAATTTCTAAAATGTTTACATGAGAAATGGTTATATTCATTTTCCCAAGTTACTACGACAGCCCGCAGCTGGTATAGAGGAATGAATACAGTAATGGAAACACCTCAGATCCCATGAAAAGGCAGATGTTTAGGCCTGGAGACTAATTCAATAAGTCCTCTGCTGTTCCTTTTCTCACCTAAGTCTTCTCTCCTCCAATGAGTGGAGCAAAATGCAACCTTAGAAATCACAGCCCAGTTGTGTTCCTATCAGTAGAATCTTATGTAATAAAAGCATAATATGCAAATGGACCAAAAGGTGAAACTACCAGTCAGCAGGGGGGAGGGGGAGAGCGTGCTAGCAGGCAGCGCAAGCCAAGGTGCATGCCAGCAGACAGAGGGATGGGCAGGCAATGGGGGGAGGGAGGGAGGAGGTGGCAGCAACCAGGGTCAGCAGAGGGGCGATGGGGGCAGGCAGGGCAATGGGGGGAGAGGGGGCCGGGAGTGCAGGGCCACACCAGTAGATGCTATCCCCTGATTGGCCACCTGGTTGCCTCCCAAGGAGGGAGGCCAGCAGCAGCAGCAGGGTGATGGGGGCAGCACTATCCCCTGATCGCCCTCCTGCCTGGTCACCTCCCACAGAGAGAAGCTGGCAGCTGCAGAGCATCAGTGGCAGGGCGATGGGGGCAGCACCATACTGATCACCCACCCAATCCCCTCCCACAGAGGGAGGCCAGACTGTGGCTAAGCCATCAGTAGGACATCCCCTCAGGGCTCCCAAACTGTGAGAGGGCACAGACTGGGCTGAGGGACCCTCACCCCCACTCCAGTGCACAAATTTTCGTGCACCAGGCCTCTAATATGTTAAATAAAAACACACCCTGAACCTGACCTACCAAAGTCTTATCTGACTAAACTACAAGCAGGCTCTATTGAGGACAGATTTTGCATATGGCTTGTGGAATCTGTCTCAAACAGAAATGAAAGAATGTGTGTTATTCAGCATAAAAATCACACACACCCTAAAATCAACTACCTTTAATTGCCTTCTTCTACTCAATGCTTCCCTAGAATTCTCTAAGTTCCAACGTTTGCTCCTGATCAAGGGATCTCCTTGCTGAGTTTAAAATTGCCATTTGGTATGCAATCTGTTGATAAGGTTATACTACTCAATTTTAGGTCTTCAAAGGACTATTATTTTGTTCTATCAAAGGACAAGGAAGGAGAAAAGCAGTTTAGTGGTACTAAACCCACACTCACCTGGATTATCTGGAATACAACAGAATTCTATCTACTTCTTTTATAGCATTGTCCTTACTCATACAATTCCTTCTTTTTTATATTAAGCAGTATACAGCTTTACAGTATTATATCAGTAACCCCCAATACTTCAAATTCTCCCTCTCGATGGAATTTAAACTGTTTCTCCACAGTTCCAGAACATTGGTAAAATGCCAACACGGACAGTCTCATTTCAAAGTGCAGGCTGCCACCTACTGACTGACTGTGATTCCCACTCCACACTCCGCCTTCCCCAGAGAGCTCATCAATCCCTCATAAAACATTGCCTTTGCTGTCATTTAATGCTATCTTCGTTATGTCATTTCATGCAATGCATTCAATATATCAAAATAATATTTTAATTAATTAACTTTGGGGGGAAAAAACACTAAACAGACATGTTTCCATATAACTGAAAATTCCCACTCAAAAGGGCAGATGAGTATTTTTAAAAGGCAAGTGATACTTTTTAATATGCAGAAAGCTTTTTAATAACATATTTCTCTTCTTAATTTTCTTTATTCTTCACTTCCGACACTGAAGCTCACCTCCTCTCATTAGAGAAAGTAGTGGTGACTTAATTGTTCCTATTGATCAACCTGGAATCATAGTCCTAAAGCTGTTATGAAAATTCACAGCAGTTGCTGACAATAAAGCCAAGGGAGCCGTTCATTAGCTCAGCCCCTTGTCATATAAACATAAATCTGCAGTGCCCTCTAAAAGCAATGGGCTTAGTTTCTCCCTTTTCTTAACCATTTTTTAAGAAAGAGAATCAGACCAACAAAAATTCATTAAAGAAAGATAAGCAAATCCCCTTTCTGAGGCCATAGGTCACTTCTTGATATTCACCGACACTATGTTAAGAGCTAGGAATACACAAACATTTTAAATACCAGTTGCCTTTAAGAAGTTGCCTGGTACACAGATTTGGTGGAAAGACAATTACAACATAACTTGCAAGATGCAAAATCTGAGCAGTGATTAAGTAGCATCTAGGTCTTCTTGAGGGTCAAGAAGCTTTACAGAGGACCCATCATGGTTGTCTCTAGAAGTACAGACAATTTTTTCCATCTTCTTTATACTTTTCAGTATTTTCCAAATTGTCTACAATGCACATGCATTACTTTTTTAAATTAAATGTAGAAAGGATTTTACATTTTCTTAAGATCTAAAGTTTTAGGTGTCTAAATTAGCTAGAATTAACTTAAATAGTTTGAGACAGTTGAGGCTGGCCCAACTATGTCAAACTCTAAACAGCTGTTGGAAATAGACAGCTAGGCAAAAGCAGAGGGATAGGATCCAGGAAGTCAACCTGCTATTAAAGAGAAGAGAGAAGAACTGGTAAGTGATGTGGAATGTGCTATGGTTTCCTGAATTCACAGAAGAATGAAATAAGAAGAAACAATTGGAAAAAATTTCTTAGAGACCTCACCCTTTACTCTGCTAGCACACAGGAGCCTTGCAGAGCATTGCCAATTGTAAGAAGAAAGATAAATGTCAACTCCCCCATCCCATCTTAACTGCTTTGCCAGATTAGATAAAACCAAGAGAAGAAATAAATGGTCAAAAGTACAGCAAGGCATCCCTCACAATAGGTGGCAGTGAAACATTCCCGACATAAAAAATCAGGAGTGGGAAGGCTGGGATGGGCCACAATGCATTCTGAGAGTCTGAGTCAAATGAAACGAAAGAAAGCAAGAGGCAGAAATGAATCACATGCTTACAAAAGACACCCATCAGCTGGGATGAAAGGTAATGTAATAGTTCATTTTATGTATTTGCTTGGTAAAGCAATGATGCCCAGTGTTTGATCGAATGCCAGTCTATATATTGCTGTGAAGGTATATTTTCGATGTGATTAACATTTAAGTCAGAATTTAAGTAAAGAGGATTGCCCTTCATAATGTAGCTGGACCTCAACGAGTCACATGAAGGCCTCAGGCGAAAAGACTGTGGTTTCCCACAGAAGAAGAAATTTGTCCTAGAGACTGCAATATAGAAACCAGGCCTGGGTTTCCAGCTGCTCGCTTGCCCTAGAGATTTCAGACTTGCCAGTCCCCGCAGTTGTGTGTAAATCTCTGTATTTTTCTCTCCCTCTCTCTCTCTGTCAATTCACAGATATATATATCTACATAGAAAGAGAGAGATACAAATACATATATAGATTATAGATACATATATACATATACACACAGAAATATAGATATATCCTAATACTTCTATATTCTAATGAACCCTAATTCTATATAATAAAAAGGTAATATGCAAATTGACCATCACTTCAACACACAAGATGGCCACCCCCATATGGTCAAAGATGGCCCCCATGTGGACACAAGATGGCCACCACAAGATGGCCTGCAGGGGAGGGCAGTTGTGAGCAATCAGGCCGGCAGTGGAGGGCATTTAGGAAGTACCAGGCCTGCAGGGGAAGGTATTTGGGAGGGACCAGGCCTGCAGGGGAGGGCAGTTAGGGGTGGCCAAGCTGGCAGGGAAGGGTACTTAGGGGCAATCAGGCCAGTAGGGCAGCAGTTAGGCATCAATCAGGCTGGCAGGGGAGTAGTTAGGGGGTGATCAGGTTGGCAGACAGAAGCGGTTAGGGGCAATTAGGCAGGCAAACAGTTGGAAGCCAGCAGTCCTGGATTGTGAAAGGGATATCTACCAGGATCTGGCTTAAATGGGCAGCAGACATCCCTTGAGGGGCCCCAGATTGGAGAGGGTGCAAGCTGGGCTGAGGGACTCACACACACACATTCCTGCCCCTTGCACACATTTTTGTGCACCGGGCCTCTAGTGCAGGTAATAAAAGATGAAAGATGAACTGTATTAACAGAGACCAATAGGGTAGAATCTTAAATTAGAGGCAATGGAAGTGAAATGGACTAAGTCAAGCAGCAACAATATCAAAGATTCCTGGACATATGAATGAGGTGATAAGCAATACATTTAATGAAGATTATTTTGAAATCTATAATGTGTAACATGAACCAGATCAAAGGGATGCTACATTTGGAGAAATCTAGGCCAAAGGATTCTATGGGTGGCTATGGGAATGAAAAAGAAACCCCTTCATACAATAAGAATACAGCAATAATATAACAGGTATATTTTATATTATCAAGATCTTTAAGTCAAAATTCTACAGGAATATTGTTCATATGTCAAGATATTAACTTACCATACTTGTCTCGCAAGCCAACGGTACATCTAAAGACTCCACCAAAGGCAACATCTTCACCAAATATTACTGAAAAACAATGTTTAAAGAACATGCTTTATTTAATAACTAGGGGCCCGTTGCAGAAAGATTCTTGCAAGAACGGGGCTTCCAGAGGGCTTCCCTCCCCCACAGCCACCTCTCCTGCCCCCCACCTCTCCCACTGCGGCAGGCAGGGCGGGGTGAGCAGCGGCAGTGGTGGCAGCAGCCCCACCCACCTGCCCACCCCACCGCGCCCACAGCCACCTGAGGGACCCCACCAGTGTACGATCGGGGCCAGGGAAGGACACAGGAGATTGGCCAGCCAGGAGGGACTGCAGGAGGGCTCCAGAGCATGTCTGGCCCATCTTGTTCAGTTCTGATTGGCTGCACCCCCAGTAACAAGCTAACCCACCAGTCAGAGCATCTGCTTCCTGGTGGTCAGTGCATGTCATATCAAGCAGTTGAGCAGCCTTAGCATATCATTAGCAAATTACACTTCAATTGATTGAATGGACAACACTTAGCATAGTAGGCTTTTACTATATAGGAAGGATGGCTGAACAAAGTGGTACTTTCTAGTTTTTCCTATATGCTAGAGCAGTAGTCGGCAAACTACAGCTTTCGAGCCACCTGTGGCTCTTTGGCCCCTTGAGTGTGGCTCTTCCACAAAATACCACATGTGGGTGCTCACGTACAGTGCAATTGAAACTTTGTGGCCCACGCACAGAAGTCAGTTTCGGCCTGGACTAGTCTATTTTGAAGAAGTAGCATTAGAACACTCCAGGGGCCAAAGAGCCACATGTGGCTTGTGAGCTGCGGTTTGCCAACCACTGTGCTAGAGAAACATAGTACACAGTAGGTATTAATCAGAAGGTGTTAATATAGTATCATACATACCATGAGAGAAAGTTAATTTGATGATGTTAAAGATAAATGAGAACTAATTCATAATGAGTGGATTAAAACGTGTTAACATCATGATTAGACTATTGAACCATTTGGTCAGGTGTTTTATAAATTTCAGGTACATACTAGTGTAAAATTAACCACTGACCTCCAGACAAATATTTCCAGTAAATCTTCAATTCTGAAGTAACGCAGCAACCACAAGAAGCACAAAGGAAGTTTACCTGCAGTAGGATCTTTGGCCAGTGAGTTATCCAAAGCACTTGTTATAGCCTGGAAAAGGTTCATTTTCTGAGTTTGTCCTGTAAAAATAAAAATTTTAAGTCACATTTCATACTTAATAAAATATATAAAAATAACTCCTTTTAAGAATTAAAACTTGATTAAAATCAAGGTAAAAAAGAAGGTAGAGAACACATTACATTAATTTATTGTATTATTTAAAATTATGTTGGCTCTATAGAAGATACAAAAGCAACACAGACTTCAAGAAGGCTGGTGAAGAGGCAAAATTTACACATATTAAACAATTAAAAAACAAGTATAAAAAAAGGAAGAAGGCATATAGTCAAGTGGCCAAATGTATGTTGAAAATAAATAAAGGCTAAGCAAAGTCAGGAAAGTTACCAACCAGAGTGAAAGTTGCCTGGGAACATGCCCTAAGGGATGTTAGGAACATAAGCCATAAGAATGCACAAGACCACAGCGGCATATGTTAATTATGCCAATGAAAGCAAATGGTCATGGGCCATAAAACAATGAAGAACACTAACAATAAACTTCAGTACCCAGAACTGCTGGTGTTTGGAGAATACAGAACTCCAGGACTACACAAACCACACTTGGTTCTTCCTATTATCTTATTGCTCCAAACAGAATCTCTGCAAGCCAACCTCTATCTCCCTAAATGGATTAAATGGATAATACATGTAAAGCACAAAGAATGATGCCGGACACAGTAAGTGCTGAGTAAATATTAGTTATTTATTCTTAGATTCTGGACTTTGTCCATGACCTTCATCTTGGTCTGGGCACTATTCTGAAGGGTACAAAGCTTTATTTGATAAAGTTCCAAATGTAAAGATTTGGAAGGATTGTAGGAAACTGTTCCAAATGTAAAGTTCCAAACACCATGGCATTCCCATTCTTTCTCCTATTTCATACTTTTCCTAAAGCAAGATTTTTATTTGTCAATTAGGGTTTTCATAGGTAATACCTAGGAAGATGAAAAATGCCTAACCATCTAAGCTTCTATCTATTTCAAGTCCTCTGACCATTAGAATTAATATTGAATGCTTCATTGCTGCTCAGCAAATTTCCAGTGGGAATAAAGCAAAGATTTTAACAATAAAAATCATATCAAGGAAACTTGGAAAGTACTGCTTGATAACCACAAAGAATTTACTCATATGAAAATAATTTACAAGGTTATTTAAAGGTTATATTTCCATGTAAGCACATAAACTTTCACTCCTGAATACTTTTTTTTTTAAATAAATTCAAAATTTTAGGGTTTGGGATTAACTACTATTCTACCAAATGCTTTTAAAAGTTTTAAATGTCAGCCGGGACTGGTTGGGCTCAGTGGATAGGGCGTCGGCCTGGGGACTGAAAGGTCCCGGGTTCGATTCCGGTCAAGGGCGTGTACCTTGGTTGCGGGTGCATCCCCAGTGGGGGGTGTGCAGGAGGCAGCTGATCAATGTTTCTAACTTTCTATCCCTCTCTCTTCCTGTGAAAAATCAATAAAATATATTTTTTTAAAAAATAAAAAATAAATACAAGTTTTAAATGTCAATATTTTACAGATTTTTTGAGGGAGAGAGAAATATTTGTTGTTCCACTTATTATGCATTCATTCATTGATCCTTGTATGTGTCCTGACTGAAGATTGAATCCACAACCTTGGAGTATTGGAACATTCTAAACACAGGGCTACCTGGCCACGGCAGACAACTTTTGAAATTTTTTAAATAACTTATTTTTACAGTTGTACAATATTATATTAGTTTCAGGTATTCAACCCAATGATTAAACATTAATATAATTGAAGAAGTGATCACCCCAATACATTGTTATTAAAATATTACTGACTATATTTTACATTCCCATGACTTTTTCATAGCAACCAATTTGAACTTCTTAATCCCTTTATCTTTTCCACCCATCTGCTCCAACATCCTTCCACCTGGCAACTATCAACATATTATTAAATGACAATTTTTAATACAGCAACATCTACTTTCAATTCTTTTTAAAGTTGTAGTATGTTTTGTAAATGGGTCAGGAAGAAATCACAAGTTATTCATAGGTAAGATCATTTTAAGTATTTAATTTCCTTATAACTATTTATTCTCCTACTAGAGGCCCAGTGCACAAATTCATGCACATTAAAAGGAAAATACTTAGAAGAAATATTTTAATATTGCTATTTGTTTGCCCTTTCTCTGTAATGGATGCTGGTCGCCACCTGCGGGGTAATCTTCGGGGCAATCGGGCCATGCTCATACCCCAACCTTGGCCTGGTGCACCCACTCACCTGCTCCACCATCCCTCTGCTGCCCCACTATCATCAGGGCCCATCAGGGCTGGCAGTGTCTCCATTGCACCTGCTGCCAGCGCTGCGTCGCTGACACCCGCCATGTTCTGCACCACCCCTTGGTGGTCAGCACACCTTATAGTAAGCAGTCGAACTCCCAGTAGAGGGGATAATTTGCATCTTAGGCTTTTGTTATATAGGATAGGTTATGTCAAAGACCATTCATAAAATATGCCTATGTTCCCTCATAATAAGATAAGTGCACCTCTAGCACATCTAACGAAAGTTGTGCCACTGGCAAGACTTTTTAAAAGAAAAAAGGCCTGGCTGGCATAGCTCGATGAATGAGTGTCATCCTATGAACCAGGAGGTCACAGCTGGATTCCAGGTCAACGCACATGCCCAGGTTACGGGCTCATTCCCCAGTGTGGAGAATGCAGGCGGCAACAGATCAATGATTCTCTCTTGTCATTGATGTTTTTATCTCTGTCTCCCTCTTCCTTCCTCTCTGAAATCAATAGAAAATTTTAAAAAAAGAAAAAGGAAAAAGAAGAAAGGTAGTCTGTGAACACCATTAAAATTGTTATTCAGCGCATCATGAATAATGATCATCACTGCTAAACAGATAAGTGGCATGCGGGTGGAATGGAAGGGACACAATAGAACATGAGCTCTAAGAGGTCAGGGATTTTTATCTGCCTTTGACCAGAACTATATGCTGTGTTTATAATAGTGTCTGGCATATGGTCAATTGCTGAACAAATAAATACAAGCAGCTATTTCCATAAAGACAAAATATACATAAATCAAATTGTTAAACAACCACTTAAAGAAGTGGGAATGGAGAAGGGGGGGAAAATCTACCAAAGTCACAATTCAAAGAGACTGCGGAAAAGGCAGGGAGAAGGGATATTGCTATAACAGGATGATGGATTATTCAATTATTTTGAATACCTCCAGTAGGCAGTAGTGTTGAAGGGAAAGAGAAGCCTTCCACAGACCCAGACCACTTAAGACAAAAGAGGCAAATGGGTCCCTAGGAGTAGTCTTCAGAAATAAATAAGGTCAAGAATAGGGCATGTCAACAGTAAGTATATTTGTAGTTAGACCCTAAATAAATAAAAATACAAAGCTATGATATGGAAAATTAGAGTCTAGTTTCAGAAAAATGAGGGTTCTGCCAGCACTCTGAGCTGCTTAGTCCTTGCTGGAGACCTGGGTATTATAACACTGTCTCACTCTATTCCTTAGAAATCTCAGCATTTCACACAGTGCCTACCACGTACATGACAATCAGTACGTGCTTATGAAGCATGATGAATGACTATTTCAGTGGCTTACAGTGACACTAACCCCACTGTGAAATGAGAAGATGCCTAAGAAACTACCTATTTTCCCCCAACAAAACTTCTTCCACCTCTCTAGATACCCTACTGTCCAGGAATCCCTTTCTATGTGCTAGGTGCTCTGCCCCATTCTAAGCTCTATTAAACATACTACTATATATCCCATATAGAACATTTCAGAGAGAGTCCAATATTAGGGACAAAAACATTTGATATTAAAATGTAAATGAAGAATCTGTAAACACAAATGTCTTTTAAGGTGCCAATGTATATTGCATATCCAGTCAAAGGAAGAAAGTAAACACAGGCTGGCAAGAAGAGTGATTGGGTAACCAAATAGGGAGGCCCTAAGTTTCTTCAAGTTGAAGAGACTGTGACTGGAGCCCCTAGGCTGCCCCTCTCAGGACTCCTGGTAACTTCAATAATGATATGATAAGCGATGTCACTTCCCTTTGTTTTGCTGGCTCCTTCTCTACTCAATTTCTAACTGGTTTTTAAGCACATCTACATACTGGTGACTCCCAAATGGATATCTATAACCCAGATCTCTCCTCTGAGCTCCTGATTTTATATCTGTAAATGAATAAAAGAGGTTCTTTGCAAAGGTGATCTGATCATAATTCCTAAAGGGGAAGGTGATGGTGGGCAGTCACAGCCCAGGCATATAACTTTTGGCCTTAAGCAAGCCCTGGCTATTGTTTTGGTGCACCTAGGTTCATATGTCTTTGAAATGCTCTTCAGACCTCACCTTCTAATACTATCCCTTTCAAACCCCTCCTCCCAAAGCATCAATTTTCAACTAATGTGACTCAAGACCTTTTAAAACATGCAATACTTGACTATGCAAAACATGCACTGACTTCTTTTTCCCTTAGATTGTCAAAAAAAAAAGAAGCCAACACAATAGTCATCCAGTGTGAATCAATCAAAATTATACCTATTTTGTCAGACTGACAAAAAATATAACACATTTTTTAGTTTGCCATAGAATTTTAGTATTAGTTTATGTGTGCCATGAGATGAAAAAGGTTGAAAAGCACTGTTCTAAAGCATGCAAGAGAGCACATAATCCTAACTCTCCTATAATTCCTATCATGTTGCTTTCTCCCACCTTTATGTAATATTCCTTAGTTCCCTCTTTAATCTCAAATGCAGAAAAGCAACTGCAAACTATTATTCTCCAAAGCACTCATCTGTCTGTCGGTATCTTGCTTCCCGGTGTATCCTTTTTGGATCAAATAAATTTTTATAAAAATTATCTACAGCCGAAACCGGTTTGGCTCAGTGGTAGAGCGTCGGTCTGCGGACTGAAAGGTCCCAGGTTCGATTCAGGTCAAGGGCATGTACATTGGTTGCAGGCACATCCCCGGTAGGGGGTGTGCAGGAGGCAGCTGGTCGATGTTTCTCTCTCATCAACGTTTCTGGCTCTCTATCTCTCTCCCTTCCGCTCTGTAAAAAATCAATAAAATATATTTAAAAAACAAACAACAAAAAAACAACAACACAATGATATCTTTAAAAAAAAAAATTATCTACAGGTTTGGATGTTCTTACATCAACATATCCAACAGCAGTTCTCCACTTGGGTTTCTTGGGCTTTTGTTTGCATTTTTTGTTGTCACCCCAGGATATTTTCCATTGATTTTTAGATAGAGTGAGAGGAAGGGAGTAAAGGAGGGAGGGTGGGAGGGAGGAAGAGAGGGAGGGAAGGAAGGAGGAAAAGAGGAAGAAACATCAATATAGGGGTGGGGGGAGAGACATAAGTAATATTTTCAACAATAAAGAATTTAAATTTAAAAAACAACAACAAAAAAAGAAACATCATTGTGAGAGAGACACATCTATCAGTTGCCTGAATGCCCCCGACCAGGGCCAGGGATTGAACCTGCAATTCTTCTGTGTGCAGGTCAATGCTCTAATCCTCAGTGTTTCCCAAACTTTTGACATATGTGTGCCCCTTCTATAATCTTCGTAACGCTGAGTACCCCTCATACTCATGAGAATGTAGAATTAGGTGCAGCTCATATCCCCACCAAACTCCGGTGCAACGCGTATCCCCACCAAACTCTTCCCGTACCCCTGGGGGTACGCGTACCACACTTTGGGAAACACTGCTCTAGAGACCAGCTCCCATCCTTAAGAGACTTAGGGACTTTGCAAAAGTCAACATTAACATAACAAGACACCTTTATTGCTCCCATCACAAGAAATTTCAGTGTTTCAGTAGCTCAGTGCCAGGAGTGGAACAAAGACTGAATATGTATTCTTTATTATAAATCACAGTATCACAGTACCCCTGTGATTTTTAGCAATGGGAGTGTAAAATGGAAATCTGAGCTATGCAATAAAATCCATTAAAGTGTTCCTTCTTCCAAGTCAGAAATATCCTCCCCGGGATTTTATCCTTAAGAAATAATGTTACATGAATGGCACATGAAATGTTTCTATATGCATTATGTATAACACTGCAAAAGTGTACTATCTAAAGCATAATGGTAATTATTTAAAGTTTCCATTTATTGCTGAGTGTAGTCAGAGACTTGTTAAGTATACCATACTTAATTTAGTCCTCATAACAAAACCCTCTGAAGTAGGTATTATTATTAACTCTTTACTTAGAAAGAAATAGAGGAGGGTAAGTGATGAGTCCAAAGTTACAGGTACCAGGGCCTAGACAGAACTTAGGACAATCTAACTCATGGATCAGGATTTGTAGCCATGCAATCAGTGTTCCTACTCCAGAGCACATGACTTCTAAAGGACGGTTACAAAAACTACATAACAACACGGGAGATGCTTTCGATTAAATAGTGCAGATTATATTTGTATTGAAACTACAATCGTGGAGAACTTTAATTCCACTAATTTATCTTCGTAACCTTGCGCAAACTATCTCAAGACCTCAAATAGCCTACCTGAAAATGGGGATTTCAACATTACCAGCCTCTTTTAAGGTTGTCCTTAAGCATCAAAGGCGTGCCTGCCCCTCGTAAGCCCTTAAAGTCCTTTCTGACTTAGTCACAAGTAAAGACACACTTCAGCTGTGGCACCAGAGACGTTTTTAGACAAGGAAAAGGTAACCGTTTTGTTTCTGATATTCTGATGACACACACTGGACGTCTGAAGATTACACAGAACGTGCAGAATAAATCGTACAAATAAATCCTGTCCGTACTGTGGGGTGTGCTTTAGGTCCTTCCTGTCTCGGGCAGCTCTGGGGGCCTCCCTCCTCCCTCCACCTGCAGCCCAGCGCAGCCCAGGGCTCGGGACTAGACTTAGCTAGGAAGCCTGGATCCTTTCCCATCTCCAGAAAGCACCTACTCTGTGACCTTGGAAGAATCAATCCAATGACTTCCTCTGTTTGCTCTCAATCTGCCAAAGGAAGACATAGACATCAATCTTCCTTTGAAACACGGCAGCCTGTGGGGAGCGGCCCAGGCCTGGGCAAGCAGGACCATAATCCCTGAGGCCAGAGAAGGGAGAAGCAAGGACGAGGAGCGAAGCAAGGGGGTGAACCTGGGCGACACCCCTTCACCCTCAGGCCCTCCCAGGCTCCCACCCGTGTCCAGGGTGCAGAAGGTCTCCTCCCAAGGGTTTCAGCTGTCACAAAATCAGAGCCAGAAGGAGACCCCCCCGTCCTCGGACCCAAAGGCAGGACGAGGCTCCAGGGGGCAGGGCTGGGGGTCCAAGCCCAGGGCAGCCCCTCCTCGCTCACCGTGCTCCTGGGACTCCGGGTCGGGCTGGAAAGTGAAGTGAGCCACCTGCCGCCGCGGGGCCGCCTCCCCGCCGGCCGAGGCGGGCTGCAGGAAGCCCCGCGGCAGCCCCGCGCCGCACAGCCCGCGCCAGGGCCCCCCGGCCCTGGCCGCACGCAGCCTCCACAGGCGGCCCGCACTCGCCGTCAAGGCAGCCATCCCCGCACGCCGCCGCCGCCGCCGCCGCCGGGTTTGCCAGCTGCGCCGCCGCACACCGGCCGCAGGGGGGGCGGAGCCCCGGGGCAGCTCCCCCATTGGTGCGGCCGAAGGGGCGGTTCCGTGAAGCGAGCCAATCGGAGCTCGGCATTCGGAGGTGGGAAAGGCAAGGAGCAAAGCCAAGCGGCGTGGGCCCGCGGCACGCACGCACGCGGAAGAGGGCCCCGGCGTGAGAGCCAATGGCATGGTCCCTCCCAGCGGAGTCTCCCCAACGTCAGCTGGGCCGGCCGGGCTGCGCAGGGGCGCGGTCCTGCAATGGGCCACCCCGTCCCCGGGTTTGTTCTTTCCCAATGTCACTTGTCAGTGTCCATGGCTTTTTCCCTTTTAACATTTATACTTTCTTTCTGAAGTGTGACCCCTGTTTGTTCTCTCCGATTCTTTTTCTCTAGGTCCTCCTAGAAGGAAGGGGTGGAAAGGTTGCTGATTGGCATTCGTTATTGGTCTTGAGTTCCAAACCCTCCTTGAAGGTTTAATCATCCTCTAAAGAATATGGTTTTGTTTAGATGGCACTTTAAAGAGATACACGTGGATATCATTCCGAAAAATCCAATTAATAGAGATAGATGGTCGGTACATTTTTTGCCCAGGTGCAGGGGGAAAAAATGACTGGTGTATTCTAATTAGCCTAAAAACCTGAAGGATTCGAGTCATTAATTTACATTTAAAATAATCGGTTTGGTAAACTTCCTTTTTCAAAATCTAGATGTTTCAGAGGATACTTTCCCTGTCCGTGAATTGGCAAGTCGTAGTAAAATATGGCAGAAACTAGAGTGAAAGTGTTTCCATCAGATAAAGATAGGAGGGTGGGAAAGGACAGATCAAAAATGTTGAAGTGTCTTCATATGCTGGTTAAGAAGTTTTACGTCCTGCCGGGACCGGTTTGGCTCAATGGATAGAGCGTCGGCTTGGGGACTGAAGGGACCCGGGTTCGATTCCGGTCAAGGGCACGTACCTTGGTTGCGGGCACATCTCCAGTAGGGGGTGTGCAGGAGGCAGCTGATCGATGACTCTCTCTCATTGATGTTTCTAACTCTCTATCTCTCTCCCTTCCTCTCTGTACAAAATCAATAAAATATATTTAAAAAAAAAAAAAGTTTCACGTCCAACTATATGCAGTCAAGAACAGCAAGGAGAGTACCAACAGATTTGTCTGCCTGACAAAATCACTTTTTAACTTTTATTTTTTCGCAATCTCCACCACACCATCTACTTAGTACCTTGGAAATGTATGTACGTAATTAAAGTGGGATCCACCCTGGCCACATTTCATTGGTATTAGGTTGAGAAACTGTCATTTTCAGGAAATTTTGGAAGTATAATTTAGAAAGATAGGCAAAAGTGCTGTTCACTCTTCAGAATAACTCTTAGCTCACTATCTGTCACTGAGTTTCACTACCTGTGCAACATGTACCTGTTTAGACTCAGCTTTTGGATACCCTTTCATATCCTATATAATAAAGAAATAATATGCAAATTGACCCTCATGCCCTTGTGTCACAAGATGGCCAGCAGGAGAGGGCTGGGGGGTGGGGGGGAGCGTCAGGCCTGCAGGGGAGGGCAGTTGGAGGTTATTGGGCCAACAGGGGAGTAGTTAGGTGTCAATCGGGCCAGCAGGGGAGTAGTTAGGGGGCTATCAGGCAACCAGCAGGCGAGTGGTTAGGAGTCAGCAGTTCTGGATTGTGAGAGCATGCAGGCTGGGCTGAGGGACACCCCTTATATCCCCTGTCTCCACCCTGTGCACAAATTTCATGCACCGGGCCTCTAGTAGCAACATAATATCTTGTAATATCTTATCCTTATATCTTGTTACCTGTTCTGATTCAAACTCAAGCAGAGACATCAGTAGGCAAGTAACACAGGAGTCAAATTCTTGCCCTTGAATTACAAAATAGATCTTTAAGCCAATGGCAGAGATAATTTTTAGAGAAAATAGCTTGGCCTATTTTCTGAGTACTAAATTTCAAGAACCTGAATGACTTAGGGTACAAAATGTATGAGTTAAACAAAAGTTTATAAAGAGCATGCTTATTTAAGGGCCAGTTTTTCCCACCTTCCATAAAAGTAGAGCCACAAAACAGAACTGTAGGTATCTTTATTTGTAGATGGACCTGAAAGAGTATCACAGGTCCTCCAACTTATGACCATGACATGGCATTTGGAATAGAAAAAATGCTTCTCTCATATGCTAAGAGATGCAGATATGGTATCAAGGTTTAGGAAAAATGCTTTAAAAATAAAGTCCATTATTTTAAATGGGCAAGGCTTTGAATAGACATTTCTCTAAAGAAAATATACGAGTGGCCAATAAACACATGAAAATGTGTTCGACATCATTAGAGAAATGCAAATCAAAACCACGACGAGATGCCACTTCACATTCACTAAGATAGCCAAAATAAGACATCTCTAACAAGTGTTGGTTAGGATACGGAGCAATTGAAACCCTTGTACATTGCTAATGGGAATATGAAATGGTGCAGCTGCTGTGGAAAATAGCTTATAACTTCTATAGATGTTAAATAGATTTATCATATGACCCAGAAATTCCACTCTTAAGTACACACCCAGGAGAAATGAAAACTATGTACACACAAAAATCTGTACACAAATGTTCGTAGCAGCATTGTTTATAAAGTAACCGAAAGATGGAAACAATTCAAATCTCCATCTACAGATGTGGATGAGCAAAATATAGTATCAATATGATGAAATATTACTTAGTAATAAAATTAATGGGGTAATGTTACATCAGTGAACCTTGAAAACATTATGCTAAGTGAAAGAAGCCAGTCACAGGAGACCACTTAGTTTACAACTCCATTTATGCAAAATGCCCAGAAAAGTCAAATCAATGGAAACAGAAAATCAATTAGTGGTTGCCAGGGTCTGGGGTAAAGATGCAATGGGGAGTGACTGTTACTTGGTATGGAATTCTTTGGGGGAGTGAGGGAAATGTACTAAAATTAAACCATGGTAATGGTTACACAACTTTGTGAAAATTATATAAAAATAAAAACACGAAAATGTGAATTTAATGCCATAAAAATTATATATCAGCAAAGCTTCTGTTTAAAAATCCAGTTATGGAAAAAAGAAAGAAGTTACATTTGTACACCTAAATATGTGGGTTAGAAGAATTATGCCCTACAGCATGTGTTTGACAGCATGTATGTTAGTTCAAAGATTCTGTTTGAAATCGGTTTCAATTCAGGACTGGGAATATTTAGAGGGAAGAACTCATGATTTTCCTTTCTTTGCTGATTACTACACGGAATGATCCTGTTGGGAGCCTTCTGAAAAGAAAGTCCAAATTATAGTCAAAGCCAGCATATTAGTTTCATTGGGCTGCTATAACGAGGTACCTCTGTGTACAGAAGTATATTGTCCCATAATTCTGGAGGCTTAGATGTCCAAAATGAAAGTGTTGGTAAAGTCATGCTCCCTCTGAAATGTGTGGAGGAACCCTTCTCTGCCTCTTCCTATTTTCTGCTGGTTAGTGGGCAATCTTTGGTATTCTTCAACTTGCAGCTGCCTCGATTCAGTCTCTCCCTTTGTCATCACGTGATGTTCTTACTCTTCTTTCTTTCTTGTCTCTGGTATCATCTTATAAGGACATCAGCCTTGTTGAATTAGAAGCCCAGCCTGCTGCTGTATGATCTCATCCTAACGTAGTAACTAATTACATATACAATTCTATTTCCCAATAAGGTCACATTCTGAGGCTCTAAGTGTCTGTGGCTGGGTTAGAGTTAAAATACCTTCTAAGGGATGGATAGAACTCAACCCACAACAGCCAAAAACTCAGTGGCAGAACACAACTGGAGGCTTTTATGAACTTTCTGGAGATGCTTGCATTATTCAAGAGTTGTTATATACTGTCTAATAGATTTCTTTCAATATGATATTCTAATATTTTTGGAGGAGTTACTAGTAAACAAACAAGATACTTGGTCTACAAATCTAATATGTTTGATTTTTAAAGTGATATATTAGTTCTCTTTAAATGCTTGATGGGCTCTCTTGTGGAAAAGGGATTAAGTTCGTTGTTTGGTTCCAGAGGGAAGAACAAGAAACAGAAGAAGAAAATCCAACTCAGTGTAAGAACTTCTTACTAAATAGAGTCTCTTGGTAAATAATGAATTATCTGTCAGTGGAGACGGTCAAGTACACGGTGGATGAACACTATTGGAGGAGCTTCTTGAAAGGATGCATGCTTCATTTAGGAGTTGTTTAAGATCTTTCTAATTTTTTAGACTCTGATTCTACTATTCACTAGTGTGTCTTGAGAGCTTGCATGAGCAAGGCACTACGTTGTTTTTTTTTTTAAATATATTTTATTGATTTTTTTTAGAGAGAGGAAGGGAGAGGGATAGAGAGCCAGAAACATCGATGAGAGAGACATCCATCAGCTGCCTCCTGAACACCCCCCCCTGGGGATGAAGGCACTACGTTTTAATGAACATTGTTTTAAGCCAATCCATGGGTCTGACACCTGTACCATTCAGCATGTGAATTATCCCTCTTTCTCTGCAATCCTGAAGGTATCAGAGACTTTGCAAGGATATTGGGAATGCTTGATGGTGGCCAGTGTGGAAAAGCAGGTAAGAGAACAGCCCAACCGGTTTTCCCAGTAGGGGGCATGCAGGTGGCAGCAGATAAAAAATTCTCTCTCATCATTGATCATTGATGTTTCTATCCCTTCCACTCCCTCTATATATATATATATAGAGAGAGAGGATAGAAACATATATATATATATATATATATATATATATATATATATATATTTTTTTTTTTTTTTTAAAGGAGGTAAGAGAACAGGGGCAAGTGGTCATCAACAATGACTCACGACCATTTGTTCTCTGCACCATGTAAAATCACCCAAGGCACAGGCAAAACTTCTGCGGGAACTTGAGGGTCTGTTGAATCAAGTGATGAAGGCT